CCCCAAAACCCCAAAACCCCATGCTGATATGATTGGTCAAGAAAATTGATAAATAGAAATTAAGATTTGAAATTAGGTTAGCATATTATAATTCTCATAGTTATGTAAGTTTAAGATACTTCTTTTTCATTATTAGTTGTTTTAAGCTTTAAAGTTGTTTCCAAACTGCTTTAAATTTTCAGTCCTCACAGTTTTTCTGAATTTAATCTCATCTTTGGTTTTCTTTAGATGCTCCTAGGGTATTATATTCTATTCAAATTAGGAGTCCTTCATAAACACTAACTGCTTACTGTTCTAGGCAACTCTAACAGGAGTATTATACTTGAAATATTAGCCAGTAGGTGGAGATTTACTAGTGTTCTGCTGAGCATATATAGAATCGTTAAATCTATCATAAACTAAATGGTTATTGAACTTATTTGATAATTACTTCCAAGAGCTCTTTTATCTACAGTGAGAAGACTTTTTTCTTTGACATTTTTCATTCGCTTATTCATGAATAGCACATTTGAATCCTCTTCCAGCTTTTTCTTCCTGCTAGGAGAGTTTTGATTGGTCTAATCATCATATTCATTGCCAAACTTGTTACCTTTTTCATCTTTATCTTTCTTATCATCTGGTTTTGCTTGATATGTCTAAATGTATGTTATAAACATGAAATCAATATTTTAACCATACTTTCATGAATTCAAGTAGTTAAGGGTTCTATTTGAAAAACTTTTAATTTGCATTTTGGAATTCATGCTTTTCTGATTGTTTGAACTAAAATTTCTGTGGGGAAAGTCTCTTTGCTTTTTTGAAGGATAAGAACCCCATATTTATTTTAAGTTTCTCAGCCACTAAGAAATTAAATGTTAAAGATAAGTCTTACTTTTGTTGTCATTTTTTTCTTATTTACTAAAAGATCTAGCTAGTTAAGAATGTAAAGATTAATTAAGTTTATCCAAATATGGGCTATCACCTTGCAACACAGAGCCATTCATCGTCAAAATATTTTATATCTTAGCCGGTGTTTGGTCTTTTGCAAAGGTGCTGTTCAAATATGGGCTGTCAAACATTTAAGTCCCAAACATTGTAGAGCTGTCCTAATTGAAAAACACATTTCTTTACATCTTCAATCTAGTTTAAGTTCGAAATGAATCTACACAATAACTTATATAATAAGACACATAGATGAAAGAATTTGATTTCTTACCGAATGTCAGATATTGTTTGCTTTTACTCTGAGTACTTTAATTTGCCTCAATCGAACTCTTTTTAGACCTAAATTTCTTCAATTCAGGTGACTTAGGATCATTGTAATTACAGTTGATATTTCTACTGTTTACACTCAGATTCATTTTTCTATTCTATAGATATAACTGCAATGGGCTTGGTGATTGCTGTTATGTTTGAATCTGAATATGTATGTTTTCATTTTTATTGGACTATTGATCCATTTGATTTATTTTGATAAATTATAAATTTTATTTCAATTTGGATATAACTTTAAATTTAATTATTATTGCTATCGGGGTTTTGGGGTTTTGGGGAGATCGGAAGAGCACACGTC